ACGGTCACACAGATAGCGGACAAAAAGAAGAAAGATATCTAGCGATGTGATTATTCGGGAAGATGCTGGACGGGCTGGCTGAGTTCTTTGGAAAATTGGAATCGAACCGAATATCCCAGAGGATAGAAAGGTGGTTACGTAACTCGTGGAAAATCGTTGGTCCACGGGAGGCACCGAGATTCCAGGACACTTTTCACTTCCTGTTGTCGTATTTTATTTGTCAGGTAACTTTGAAGATTTTAGAGATAGTGGAAATCGAGAAGATGTTAACGGAATATAAAAACATCAATGTAAGACGAAAAAATAAACATAATTATAAGGTGGTTAAGAGGCATTATGCGTGATGTAAGCAAGGAAAGGGGCCACGTACCATGATTCATATCCTGCGAATCAAATTCGTGCGACAGTTTATGGATGGAACCTGGCGTGCACATGACTGAGGCATTTAATGAGTCACCTCGTTAATCAGTGTTGCGTTTTAGCTGAACTGATTAATCATATAAGACAGCAAATTGAAAGGTTGAAATTTGAAATTTAAAAATTAACTATTGATTTACTACTAGTAATTAGAGTTTCAATATGTCTATTTCCAGTGAGACATCGAGCGTGTCAATTTCGCATTTCGTATTTACAGTACACGCGGCCGATTAGTCGATCGATCTTTCGTCCAGGCGATTCCATCGCGATACGTCGAACAACGGGCCAAAGCAGGGCGCACGAATCGGCCAGAAATGGGTCAAGTCCTAATTGCATCGACGACGAAAAAGAGACGCCTCGAATATATCGCGTGCCGTGTCACGAGAACCATTCGATTTTCCAATGGAAACGGCAATGGAAAGGAAATAAAGAATCAACGAAATATCATACCTTTCGTTGACTTCATTCGCAAACCGGTATGACAGTAATTGAAAAACTGATAAACAAGGGAATAAAATGTACCATTTTCATGTTGTTATTAAAAAACTTCATCCCCCTAGTCGCAACTTTCTAAAAGAACGTGCTTGAAATGTTCTTTTATTGGTACACTTGGGGGATCGTTTGCAGAAAAAAAGAATCGTTCCCGACGAAAACACCAAGTTCAATTTAATAGAAGAACAGGAAGCAGAAAAACGGAAAATTGCCCGTGAAGTGGAGTTTGGCGAGAATTGATAGGATCGAGGAACAGGAGAAAGAAGACAGTAGAAGAAGTCTGTGCCAAGTCAATACTTTGCTCTCGATAACGTCACTCGATTACCGATTAAAAAGAGATTCCGATATCGGCAAAACAGTCGATCAGAACCTAAGTTTCTTTTTTTTGTTTTCTTTTTAAGATTAACTCTTTCGTTGCACTTGTACCCAATTTGTTTAACATAAATTCCTTTGAAATAAAAATTACAGAAAATTAACAAAAAGTATTGAAGTTTATCATTAAAATTTTTCAATTTACTCTGAAATTTGCAAAAAATTATTCCAAAGTCGACATGTATCGCTGTCCATCGAATTTACGATGGAAAATCGAACCAGATGGGAAATGCTCGACCATACGCGTTGTACAAGCATCGAAACACGGATTATCGTAACGTAAAAATAGAACCGCTTAAGGTGTCGACGTGATCTGCCGGTATTTCAAGCGGTTTCAACGGCAGTATCGAACAAAACGTTTCGCCACTTCTCGATAACACGGCTCGTTTATCGAGCACACAGGAAAGACGGATAAAGAATCTAAACGTATTTTTGACAGCGGAATTATAGAGAGGGAAATGAGAATTCAACGGCGATCGAAACGTACAACCTTCCGAATGATGTATTTTATGGAAGAAGAGTTAAGAGAATGGCACAAAGTGCCTAAAGTGCCCAAAGGCATCTTTCCAGGTACACGTATATCCACTATATGTAGAATTCTACGAACTGTATTTTATTATTCCTTTGACGTTAAGTTCGAAAATACCCATTGTAGGACAAATTATAAGCGTGACGGACTTTGGATCCCATAAGCGGCTCTGTTATGGACCGCACGTCGCCGACCTTCCGGCCTAATAGAGATATCTCATTTTTTACTTTGTATACTGAATAATGGTCGACCAGCGATGTTACGTTTAATTTTACTTAAAAATCATCTGTACCGTGTCACGCGTCGCCTTCCACGAGTCAAGTCACGTCAATTTGCCAGGAAATAAATTCTCATACTGAACACGAGTGCGAAGAGGAATCCGAAGAGCGACGCGAACAGGTGAATCGTTTTAGCCGCGTTTCTTCCGGCTAAAGAGAGATAGATAGGGAGTGTGAGGCCAGGAACGGCATTCATCGAGCAGCCGAGCGATTCGCAGTGACGCGAGTTATGCAATCGCCGCGACTGGCCTTGCGCCAATCTTGCGTATCACTCGAATTCGTCCCACAAAACGATCGACGGAGACAGACGGAAGAGGGAAAAAGAACACGTTTCTGCGTGTGCCGCGTGTTACGAAACGCGTGTGCCGCCACAGTAGCTGACCGCGTGCGTCTCTATATCGTCACTGATGAGTTTCTCGAGCCTGGTCAACAAACAAGGTAAATTCCATGCCGTTTCAAACGTTTTGCGAATGGAAAAGAGAAACCTAATAAAGAGAATCGAATGGTATTAACGATCTTAAAATGGATGTCGTCGTAAGACGTTAAACCGGCCCCGGCCCCGGCCGCGGCCTAATGCCATCATAAGACGCCACGCTCAACAGGGTGGAGGTGCTTTAAAATTATTGATCAGTTGAACGAGAAGTAGGTACATATACGGTTGTTAATATTAACGTATCGGATTTTCAAAGGACCTTTGATCTCGACTGGCGTCGATTATCGTTCACGATTTTCCACGGGAACGACGCTCGTCTAGCACGGTGCTTGACGGAACTTTAACGACGCAAACAACGCGGCGTCCACTCGCGGGAATCAAAGGGTTAATTATTAACCCTGTTAAGCAATTATCGGCGGTCGAGCGATTCGTACGTCACGGTGGCGAATAATTGCGTTCGATAGGAAGGGGCATCGAAATTTTCGGATCCTGATGGAATATGTTCTGGGTCACGATGCTCCGCCCGGTACATTCGCACCGGTTACTCTCCGCATCTAATTAACCTACCACTGTGTCAACGGTGGCAACATCGTTCAAGTGTAGGATACAAGCGCGTTTCCAGCAGACGACGTCTCGAAAGCTCTGTCAACGTTGAACGACCGTGAAAATTTTCTATCAACAGAAATCGATGATCGAATAATCGTTAAAGATATGTCAAATTAGGGGGAGTTTAAGTCATCATTTAATTGATTTTTGAAGCTATGCTTGGAACTATTTCACTACACACCGGGCTATATCTTCGCGTTCAACTATACGAACGCGTATGTATTCGTTCATAGACAATCGCAGTGGTGCGTGGTACGAGACGAGACGTGGTATGCGTTGCGTACCGAGATTACGCACACTCGTCTATTCATCATCTTGCTCGTACGTGGCCGTACCACGAACTGATAGTCACGTGCATGTACGAGAACCCGTGATACTCGTTACGAGCCATCACTCTCTAACACGTGGTACCTATGCAAAAATTAACCGTGGGCAGAATGACGATTTTTTTTTCTTTTTTTTTTTTTTTCTTTTGCACTGTCGTAATAACTTCCTGGCTCTGTTTCTTCCTTATCTTTTTCTCTGCTCACGTTACCGATAGTTTGTCTCGGTTGAAATTAAACAAAATAATCTGATGTTCGGATTAGTCACGAGTTGGCAAATAAAATCCGATTAGCCATACTTTTCAGTGAGCGATTTAAAAAGTACAAACGTTTGTTTGGCGAGGAATGCGTTAACTTGATCAGCAAACAGAGAAACGAGCAAATTGTATCGTAAATTCGTACGCAGACATGGATAAACAAAAGTATTTATAGATACTTCCATTTAGAGGAAAAATTTTATATATTTTAGATACGTTTTGTTTGTTCAAGAAAATATTTACGACTATGATACGGTATCGATGGTAATTTCTTTAAATAAGGGAGAAATTGCTTCCGTGATATAAAATCTTGTTGATTGATCGTGACGTTTTACAAATTTGATAATATACCATTTTAAGCGTTGACGAGATAACTTATCTGCTTGAAAATTGCCGAGAACCAGTTATGTATACCGGTTTCAACATGTTAATTGCACGGTGATAAAAATCTTACGAAAACCTGCAATTAGTATGTTATTGTTTTCCGATGAATCATCAAAATGAATTACCACTGCAACTTCAAACAGGTATCTGCTTTACACCGAGTCTTACAGCTACAAGACAATGTCATGTTAGAGGACTTCTAGGGACCTCTAGATTCAGCCTAGGGATCTCTAGGATCTCTAATTATAAGATAAAATTGAAAGTTTCCTAAAGCACACTATATGTATTTGCAACGTATTCCCTTTTTCCTTATTTCCAATATTCCCTAGATACCTGGAGCTACCGGTAAAGGAAAAACCCTAGGGACCATTCGGGATCATTAGAGATCTTCCAAAACGTTAAATTTGAAACTTCTCAATGTGTAATTCGCAATATAACCTTTCCCTCTAGTACAAAGTGATAAAAAATAATCCCCTAAACACCTCTAACTACAATGAGGCTGAAAATCTAGAGAATCCTAGAAATCTTCCTACACCAGCGACTCCCTGACCAATAATTAAGGTTGTGTTTCCGAATGGCCCCATCAAAATTGAGAATTCAGGTTCGGTATATAACCTAAATTGGCTACAAGAAACCGATTAAAGTTGGTTTCAGAGCTGGATGTCTTACCGTTTTCGAGATACCGTGGTAAGGTTAGGTTCTGTGTATGCGCAGTATCAAATAGCGCATGCGCAGTATCGAATAGCGCATGCGCAGTACCGAATAGCGCATACGTAATTCCAAAATTGTACAAAAATTTCTTACCACGTTATCTCAAAAACGGTAAGACATCCAGCTTTGAAATCAATTTTAATCGGTTTCTGATTGTCAATTTAGGTTATATACCGAACCTGAGTTCTCAATTTTGGTGGGGGCATTCGGAAACTTATCCATAATTAATCCTTCAAGTGCATCTTCTTAAAATTTCAACCCTTCCTTATGGTAAATCACATAAAAAACAGATCACAGAGAACGGTGGTCGAGGATTCCAATCATCCTCTCTGTTTGTAAACAAAGCGAGTCACGCGAGGACGAAGGAAACGGCCTCGAGAGTAGGTCTAAAAGTATCCCCGTGTACTCTGGCATCCTCACGATGAATGACTCCGGCTTCACTGGTTCTTTCTGGTTCGAGTATACCAACCAACCATTCACCGAACAGACGACGAGGAGGTCCGCACCGGTTTAAACCGGTACATCTGCTACCTCATCGCCGGTGGCTCGATTAGCGCCAAGCAATTATTGAATACCCGGTCGTTCGACGATAAGGTTCGTTTCTCTCTTTTATGTTCACGACTTCCTCAATCGAGATACCGATTTCACGCGAACACTGCCGCGTCTCTTACGTCTCTCGAATAAATTCATATTTCCGTGTCCCGCGGATGTATCAACGGTGCTGGGATTGTCGTCAAGAAATGCGAACCGGCGTGTCGAGGACGTACAAGTGCATACGAGAATCAGCCTACGAGACTACGGCCGGATTGCTTGCGAGATGAACCGGTGCTGGCATTGCGGTGAGACTGTGCGGTGAGATGTTACACCTTTCTTATCACCTTCGACACTGTTTCAATCCATCTTATAACTCGCCAATTAAACCATACCAGTTTTTAAATATTTTTCTTCAAAGTCACTCTATTCCAATTCACTGAAACTTTCTTACCTGTTCAATTTAATTACCAATTATTTGTAATAATTTCTGCTATTCTCGAAGTTACACTTTTCGAGGAAAATCATGAATAATTATCATTATAATTGTCCCCGATCGTAAGAAGTAATATAAACAGCTCGTGTATCGTTATTATAATTCAGGTTAACGAGATGCGATACGTATACATCCGTTAATAAGGCAGCAAATCACGATGAAGAAAAAGCACGAACTTACTCGTTCACGGCTGCGCCCTTTGGCTAGTTTTAAAAAAAGATTCTCATGCGGGGAAAATTTAAATCGAGGGTAACGTTACGGTGCCACGCAACAACGTACGGGAAATTTATGCGATCGCCTACAACAAATCATTCTGACGATAAATTTTATTCAGAGTTTTTCGTCGCGTCTCGGCGCGCTTTCGTCGGGAATCCATTTCACGGTCAGCTTGTCACAGATTTTCCTGACTTCTCGAGCGAGAATCAGAAACGATCTACACCCACCGATATTATCTCCGTTCGGTTTATTTTTAATATCACCCGACAATGGAAATACACGTTTTATCTAATCAAGTGGATCAATGTTTTCTCGCTTGAGCGAAGAGAAAGGTTAAATGATTAAGAATGTTTGCTTTAATAAAAATTCTCATCAAATATTTTGACAAGTTAAATTCGATGGAAATTCCCGTCGTGCGAAGATCTGATTATTGATAAGATTTTACCGCTGATATTTTGCGCCTATTTCGACTTCGAAATTTCATTAAAAAATCTAGACCACGATTTTCATTCAGGACCCGAAAAATTCTATATACCACTCTGGGTGTAATAGTTAACACTAGAACTATCGACCTTTGATGCACGCTTGTTTTTAAGTTGAAAATAATATAGAAAAGTCAATAGATAAAGGATGAAACTATTACGAACAGAAATTTTCCTTTTTTCGTGCCTAGGGTGACCACTTTGGTCGAATCTACTTAACGTTTCTTCTATTCTTTGTGTAACTGGTAGGTAGTTGACTTTCTCGGTCAGGAAATTTTAAAGATAATTCAAATTTCATTGTGTAACTGTGCAGTTGAAATAGACGTAATACCTAGGCTATACTATTATTGAAAATAAATTCATTCCGTTTTCAAAACTAACCAATTTCCTTTACCATCTTAAGGGGCTATGCCAGTATCACCGCTCTAAAATTAGGTGATTATCGGGAATTTTTTTTTAAAAGAAATATTACATCCAATGTTTTAAAACTTCAGGGATGTATTTAGTTACAAATCATATATCTATAATAATTTTTTGGTACAAAAATAATAAAAAACAAGCGACTTATGCGCTATCTCCCAGGGCTCCAAAAAAAAAGTAGCTCCACTGCTGCAGTGATTGCCGTCGCTTAAGTGCATAAAATGAAAAATAATAAAAACGCTGTTAAACTAGAAGGTATTCTCCGTACCATGAACTAGGATTTTTGAAAAATATCAAAATCTGACAAAATGACGAAGTTTTGAAGAAAAGTTTGGAATGTAGCCTAAAAAAAATAGTAGTTTTTATAATGCCAAATTGACATTTTTCATCCAATCAAAAAGATCCTAGTTCATGGTATGATAAAACATGTACTGAACACGCTGAAAAAAGTTTCGAGTCGATGCAATAATTTGTATTCGAGTTAGAGCTGCAGCAAATTTGAGAAAAATCGGCGCGGCGGTAAGCGCGTTTCTGACACGTCAGCAGTTACTCTTTAGAACGTTGCCATTCCTAAACTATTTAAGATTCGACCTTAAAATTTTAATATGATATTCTAGAGAGTATAGACTTTCAAAATATGCAAAAAAAATCGATTTTTCAAAAGTGTTACACTGGTATAGCCCTTTAAGTGTCTGGGTCAGGTCGGATAATGTTCAGGAGAGACTCCAAAAATTTGCTGGATACCCTTCATTTAGAATTTAGAGATAATAGCGACAAGAACTAAAGCGACCGTACCAGAAGCTGAAGCGATCGCGTACTTGCGCCGATAATGCCAAAGTTCCGCTTCGACTAATCATTCAAGAACAATGAACGGCGCCCCGACCTTCCTAACCAGTTCGTACCGGAAAACCGGCGACTGACGGTCTCGAACGAACAGATAGCGTCGACCAGTTATTGGATAGTCCGCTATCGACAAGCTCTCCTTCTTCTTTCTTCGTCATTTCAATAGCGAGTTCGCGTTACTTCCCGATGACACGAGAAACACGTCCGCTGCAGGTTGATCGACCTCACCTTGCACTTCGACGATATCAACGAGATCACGAGAGTTTCCGATCTACGTTTCCAACCGTGAAATCGTCATTTTACGATCCTCGTTTTCATTTACGATCTTGTTCCTCGGCAGATTTCGTTTCTGGTTAAACGGGAACGGGTTAGCTTTAACGGAGTTCGATATTAACGATTGAAACGACGTGATTTTAAATTTTATTTTCAATTTTCGATGTAGAGATCGAAGGTTAGGTCTAAGATTTTTGACCCAGATTTTATATGCTAAAATCATATTCTAAATCAGCTGGCAAAATTGTGTATGTTCGCGTGGAAAGTGCGGTCTTGATCGCGAAGCCCGCTGGCAGAAATCAGCTGCAACGATGGCGTCAACGGAATCATTGAAACCGGCGAGAGGCAGCTGGAGCTGGAAGCTTTTCAGAAATCACGGGTTTAAGGGAAACTGGTCGGGGCAGGAGTCAGAGATTAAAAGCGGTGTAGCGAGTCGGAGAGCAGAGAGGGCAAAAGCGAGGAGGAAACACTCCGGGATTCAATTCGTCGTTATTTAAATGGGGTCGCGTACGATTGAGCTCGTTTAAGTGTGCACACGATGCACTCGCGGACCAACTGTTCACGTGTCTCACGCTCGACGCCTCTCCTCTGCACACCTCTGCCTCCTCCGAGAAAGAACCAAATGAAATTTTTAACTTCCGTTCATCCAGCAAATATATTTATTTTAAATAAATGTATCTACTTTTGGCTATTCTGAGAGTAGTTACTCGCTGTCTGATTATTGGGGGTGTGTTCGGGCTAGTGATGGGCGATATAGTATCGATATTTTTTAGTTCAAATATCGATATTTTGTATGACGATATATTGCAGTATCGATACTTAATATATGCAGTAAGGAGAAAATTAGATAGAAAAATATTTTGTAGCAATAAGTTTCACTTATATGTTTATTTATATGTATATATATGTAGAATGTATGCAATATCGTTCTCAATATATAGTAATGCATAAGTTAATAAATAGTTCTGTATATAGATTCTAAATAATCCTCGTAATGGATGCACGTTCAAAAAAATTAAAATATTAAATATAATAATATGTTTATTATATATAAAACAAATATTTGAATAAATAGTCTATTTTTTACTGAACTTCACTTCTAATTTAATTGTACGTATCGATATCAATAATATCGATACTTTATTCTCAGAAATATGCCCATCACTAGTTCGGGCGGATACCTGAATGTTCACCTGTCTCAGGTACCCGCCACCCGAGCCCTCCCGTCTTTATCCGACACTACTGCTCGGCTACTCCGACCATTCATCGGCTACCGTTTGTCTGATTACTCGCGTACCATTGCTACTTTGGAAGCTGAAACGCGCTGCTTTTATCCCTGCCGTTTATCTCGCACGGCCGAGTTAAATAATTAAAGGAGCAGCGTAGCAATGAAAGAACCCCAAGAATTCCGGCCGACTTTAATTACTCGTGTCGGAGATACCTTTCTACGAATACTTTTCGTTCGATTCCGGCTTCTAGCCCCTCGTTGGAATTCGTTTCGAATAAATCATCATTTTGACGATATTAATATTAAAAGTAATATAGAAAGAAAAAAATTATCATTTTTAATTATTACATATCCTAAAGTTTAATATATAACTGAGAAATATAAATGACGAGTAAATATCAGTTCAAATCTCCCGCGTGAACTTTTATACATTGGGATCCACCTCCCCTACATCGGCTGTTCCCCTTGAGAAGCCTGTGGGGAAGGACGAGAACCCGGGACATCGCCATTTTCCCTGGGGAAGTCTGAGTTGCTCGCGAATGTACAACAAGGTAAATTGACTTATTGTTAGATGTAGAATTGTTGACTAAGTTCTCGACGATTTAACTTGGAATATAATCTTGAAACTTCATAATACAACCTAAGCTACTACATTCTCGAAACAGATAAGAATTATCAGAGTAAGTTTTGGAATTTCTAGGAATCTCTGAAAGTTCAAGATAGCAGTTAAAAACGGTAGGTTCCAAGATCGTGTTCCCATTGATCGTTCAAACGCGAGGAATACGAATTCCCGTTTCGAGCTGAACTTTGGTCAAACAACAGACTCGCGAGTCACAATAGAACCAGAGAGGATTCAATACTTCCTCTGATTTTCAATTAAAAGGCAGCCGTTTCTCGGGCCTCTTAGAAATCCAAACGCGCAAACTTGATTTCGGTTTAACTTATTAAACGCGGCTTGGTTTCTTCGCGAACAGCACGGGAACGACTTCCGTGCGAGTTCATGCGAATACGAACGCATTCAGGACGATCGATGACGAGGAGGAGCAGCACTGTGTCGAGCTTTATCACAGCCTCGAAGCTCTTCCCAACAACAGCTTCGTTGGTTTGGAAAACCAATGACCCTAATCGTCCGTCCCGATACGCTACCAGCGTTTTCGATATAGTCAATCCTGTGGAAAGATCAGAAGGCTCTACCTATGGGTCCTTCGTTGCCATTCAACTTCCTCTTTATCGGTATGCTGCATATCCTGTATCTAAAGTTGCCACATGTACTACATATTGTTGAAAGAAAATATAGTACGCAAAATACTATATTTTCACCTGACAGTTAATTAAATAAAAATTTAATTATCAACCTAACTAA